TCATTCTGTGTCTCTTATGCGGCGAATGTTCCCTATCTGCCTGTTAGCAAACTGCTTTATATTGCACACTAGACTGATCATGCGGAAGTACCTCGGCATGTCTAGGTGCCGGACCTTCCGGTATGAATGAATTTCCATTGCGCGTGCCTTTAAATGACATCATCCTGGGCCAACCAATCAGCCGAAGATTACGAAGCCAGAGAAAGACCGGGCACAGATGGAAGCGCCCTCATCTCTCTGATATAATGCGTATCTTAGGCCCCATTCACACTGAGTTACATCAGCCCCATTCAGCGCTGATTTAAGCTGAGCGACTTTGAGAGACATTGAGCTACAGCAGTGGCGTCAGTAGATCGGGAGGTGAGCGAATACATACCGGCGTTCGCTCACCTCTCGATCCTGTCACGGCTCTCTGCCGTGACGGGGGCGAGCGGTATACTGAGCCTGGGGTGACGGGAGGACGCTAGTTTGTGTCCTCCCGTTACCCTAAGGAGAACTATGGGGAAAAGACCTGACCCCATAGTTCTCCTTTAATGTATTGCTGTCCTCTCCTGAACCCGCAGCGTGTGCACTCTGTCTAATGAATACTAATCTGGCTTTTGTTAAATTCTGTGTCTTCCGGATCATAAAAAGGCTTTCCTGCTCATCTAAAGCCATCTCCCAGCATTGCGTCTGCTAAGAAGTAACACTCGGGTATTAGTCTAGTGAAATTACTAATGTGTGAACACAGGGAAGGATACTTTTATTTAATACATTGCTTATTATAATTATGACTGTTGTCAGCCAGGTCATGGGGTGTCTAGTGGTAGTATATAAGACAAGATAAGAATTACTGATTATTATTGAAAATATTTCAGTACACACCCAAGTGGGGGGGGGGCGGGATATCCCCGGAGTGATGGACGCATAGCTATGCACATTTTTTTTTTAATAAATAGACCCCATATTTTAGATTAATCTACACTGAGTGGCCAGATTATTATGACCACCCCATCAGTACTTCGTTGGGCCGCCTGGTAACTCCACGAGATGATGAAAGGTGATGCGAGGAATCTGACACGGCACTGTTGCCCTTCTGTTGTCTTGTACCAGTCTTGCCCCTCCCCCGTTCTGCCCTAACATTGACTAGTCGCTGAGGGCCACAATTCGCACGTTCACACCCAGATTTTCGGCTGACAGTCCGGTCTTTAAACACTTTAACAACAGCTGCTCTTGAACATTTAAGGAATTCTGCTGTTTTGCTGATACTCGCTCCATGGCTCTGAGCGCCAACAATCATCCCGCGTTCAGAGGCTGTTACATCGCGTTGTTTCCCCGTATCTTCAGAAACAAATCACTTCTACTGTCGTGGTAAACAAGCCGCTTCCCTATTTATAATGGTCTGGCCCTCTAGCAACTTCAGTGCCAAATTATAGCTAATGTGCCTACAGACGTCAGGTGGTCATAATAATCCGGCCACTCAGTGTATATAATAATCCGGCCACTCAGTGTATATAATAATCCGGCCACTCAGTGTATATAATAATCTGGCCACTCAGTGTATATTAAAGACACACGGTATACTTGTTTCATTTGCAGCACACATTTAAAGAGGAACTTTACCCCTATCTTTGAAATGGCAACAAGTCCACCTTCAGAAATGTTTAGTGACGACAATCTACAGACACAAAATTCTAGATAATTGCCGGCTTTTTATTCTTTGCATTCCTTATTTTTCTTTTACTCCCCAGTCTTCTCGCAGTGGCCATTTATACTAAGGGCAGATTAATACCTCTCCCTTTACTTCCTGGAACTTTGGGACACGTGACTAGGACATGTGACCATGCACATCGTCTCAGGGAAGGAGGATGTCTTTCCCTGAGATCTCGTGAGATTACACATGAGATTTCACAGCAATGCTCTGCTGGTGTAACCTTCCCGGGATGCTTGGGAATAGCTTACATCACCAATGCCCAAGAGGACCAGGAAGTGGAAAAGCAGTAATTGTAAGAAAAGGCAAAATAGGTTTGTTTAAAGGAGAACTATGAGGTGAGTGCTTTTCACTCACCTCATAGTTCTAGCCGACTTGTGACAATGAGACTGTCACAGGTCGGCTCAGTAGATCGGGAGGTGAGCGAACATATACCGGCGCTCGCTCACTTCTCGATCCTGTCACGGCTCTCTGCCGTGACAGGATAGGGGCTGGATTCCCCCCTCCCCGCTCCAATCCGCCAGCGCTGACTGGTGGATCGGATGGGGGAGGGGGCAGGTACAGCTGGCTCTGCCACTAGATAGGCAGAGCCAGCTGTCAGTCACGCAGCTGGGCGGATCCCGGCACAATTGTCGGGATCCGCTTCAGCAGCAGCGTCTCAGTATAGCGCGAGCTACAGCTCCCAATATACTGAGCTTAGGGTGATGGGAGGACGCTAGTTTGTGTCCTCCTGTTACCCTAAGGAGAACTATGGGGAAAAGATTTAACCCCATAGTTCTCCTTTAAAGGAGAAGTATTGGGAGAGTGTATTACACTCATCCTCATAATTAGAGCCGACCTGTGACACTTAAGCTGTCACACAACAGCTCTATAGATAGAGAACTGAGCAATCACATACCGCTGACTGCTGAATTCACAATCTTCTCCCTGCAGAGAGCGCTGACTGTCAGGGATCCTGCAGGGATTGCTCCCTCTCTGTTCTTCCAGCACAGACTAGAGGAATGGACCGGGGGAGGGAGCGGGCACAGTTGGCTCTGGCTCTACCAGCTGTCAATCAGGCAGCGGGGTGGATACTGACAATATTGTTGGGATCTTTCTCAGCCACAGTGCGGCTCTGTGCTGTCAGCATACAGCGGGCAACAGCACTCTATATGCTGAGTTTTGGGTCACACGAGGACATAGTAAATGATCTCCTGTGAGCCTAAAGGGAACTATTTCAAAAAAAGGTTGGGTCATAGTTTTTTGCATGCTGGCTGGTGAGTGTGCTGGGAAACATTTTGCTGTTGTACTGTATGTGCACCTTGCTTGAAAGCTGGTTATGAGTTGATGAGTGGTGTGTTTGCCATTTGTTTTGCTTGACTGATTTGGTGTAGTGCCACACTGGGGGTCTCAGCTGCCGCTGTGATGTGCGGGGTCCCTTGTGTGTCCCTGTACCTTTTAAGGAGGTTGGGCTTCCTCCTGGCGAACCTGCACCCAATTTTATCTTTTGCTACACGTGCTCCAAGATGGAGACTCTCACAGGTTAGAGTTAGGACCGCACTATATAGAGGGGCCTTAGGCGCGGCTTTTACATTCTGCAGAAGACGTGTATCCAAACCTCTGTTTTTAACCTTAGTGATCAGACAGGTTTGTTTTGCATGCTGGCTGGTGAGTGTGCTGGGAAACTTTTTGCCGTTGTACTGTATAAAGCCCTTCCATGTGCAGCTTGCTGTAAAGCTGGTTATGAGTTGATGAGTGCGTTTGCCATTTGTTTTACTTGACTGATTTATAACGCATTCACCCAACGTACAGCTGCACGTATGCCGTTTGCAGGGCATTACTGCCACTAGAAGGAACAGAGGAAACTCATATGCTCCTCGGCTCGATCTAGTGGCAGGATTGTCCTGTGAATGATGTTCACCCAGCTATAGGCAACTAGGGATGTTCAGATACCAAGTGCCGTACTCGATACAAGTACAGATACTTTTCCAGCTCCGAGACTAGACTGGAGAAAATTTCTAAATTTAGGAGGCCGCTGGCATTTGTAAGGAGCACACAGAGCTCCCGGGATTTGTACATCCCCATTTTAATGCATTATTTTTTTAAATAAATATATGTAAAGGGACGCACCGATACCAGTTTTCCAAGTGCAAGAACTGATACTTGCCCAAGTCCTCACACATACGAGTACTGATACATTGTTGTTTATTGTCATGTGACAGTTTTTCTAAAACAATACAGACTAATGATTTCAGGACAGTGGTGGAGTGCCAGAGCCAGGTCCCAGCTGCAACCCCTGCCACCCTGGGAGTTCTCATGAAAATGCCGAGTATCGGTACTGGTATCTGGACATGCCTATAGGCAATAAATCAGCTCCTGAGTCTTTCTCTTGGGACTGTTGACCTGCAGCAAGGTTACTCATGAGTGGCGACTTTGGTGTCCAAGAACTGATGCTCACCGAACTGGTTCAGGCTGATAGAAAGTCCTACGGCAGCGGTTCTCAACCTGTGGGTCGCGACCCATTGACGATTTTCCAGGGGTCGCCCGGGAGTCTCCCGCTATTAGATAGCGGCTCCATCAGGTCCTCTTCTAGTGATTGACACAGGGTTGCCACCTGTCCAGGATTCACCCAGACAGTCCGGGTTTTGAATGCTGTGTCCGGGTTTCATGGCAGCAGAAACCCGGACACAAGATGTCAGGCAGACAGGGGCAACCAAAATGTAGATAGTGGCTACTGGCCTCCCACTGAGAAAAGTCTTGACTGTGATATTTACATATGAATAAGCCACAATTCATTCTCCCCCAAAAAATGTCCGTCCATTGCTAGAGTGTTCGGGTTTCGATGGAAGAAGAGGTGGCAACCCTAGATTGACAGCAGCAAAGGGCGGGTGCAATAGCAAATTTGCTATTGGCTATTGCAAAGTGTAATAGCCAATAGGAATCTAGCTATGCATTCCTATGGTGGTTTTTTTTTTTTTTTGACGGCGTACGCCAGTGGTTCTCAAGCTGTAGGCCACTGTGTGATTTCTGCTGTGCTAGGTGAGAGTCCTCCTCAGCCCTCTCTTAGCGCAGCAGTGTCAGTTCTCCCGCCAGATGTCGCTGTAGCAGCCGCATCATCCCTAAAATTTTAACCTTTGGGGGTCACCACAACTTGACAAATGTTACCAAGGGGTCTCGGCCCTAGAAAGGTTGAGAACCACTGTCCTACGCCGTCCTGTGCCTGATTTGTGCATTTCCTGTATCTCCTCATAAACATTCTCTGTGCTGTATTGCCCGCGTCGGCTCATTAGCGTGCCGCTGACGCTTTTCCTGTCTTTCCATCTTCCCGCAGATAATTGCGATGACCCCCTGGTTTCCGCGCTGCCGCACTCGGCGTTTGACAGCTCCTCGCAACTGTTCAGCCACAGCAACGCGAAGCTCAACAGCCACAATGGTAAGATCGGTGTTTGAAGTGTCTGTCACTGTGTGGAGGGCTGCCATGAATAATTCATCGAGCGTCTAGCCGAAATCAGCTCCTCGTCTGAGAATTATTACAAGAAAAACAGATTTTTTTATATCTTCCTGAAATGCTTTAGCGGAGTTAACGAGCCGGAGAATTAAGAGGCCCGATTACGGGGTGAAGGGGCCGGACTGGAGCGATTGTTAGCGATCGGGCCAGTTCCATGAAATGAAGAAGTTGGTGGAAACCACGAGGGAGGCTTCCATGTCCTCACCGTGCGGGTTGTTATAAGATCATTGAATTACATATTTGTTTATGTAAAGCACCGGGTACGGGCCGCACCCCCCTTGTGACGCCACTGTGTAAAGCTGAACTCCAGGCAAACAGATAAATACGCAGATGGAATACAAATATGGGAGCGGTTTTAACGGCCAAAAGGTTTGTGTTTCTCTCCATCCAGGCCTGATATTTACACAGCTCTGGCACACAGCACAGCCTGGATTGGCTGCAACCTCTCGGCTGCAGTTTTGTAACACTTACTGGTCTTGACCCTCCCCCAGTCTGTGATTGGATGGTGATAGGAGAAGCAGCAGACTGATGAGCTCATCTCTCTGCCACTCCGCTCTCTTCTCTTATTAGCATGCTCCTTGCACTGGAGCACAAATTGGCTCCTTGTGCTGCTTGTCCCTTCCACAATATGAGCTCTGCTGTACACGGACTGCAAGATGCTGAAACCAAGTGAATTTTAGGTGGTGATTGTTTAAATTGATTTTTAAAAAAATGATTTAACACATACAGCTCTTGACCCACCCCCAGCCTGTGATTGGACAGTGAAAGGAGAAGCAGAAGACTGATGAGCTCACCTATCTGCTTTGTCAAGCATGCTCCTTGCACTGCAGCACAAATGACTGGCTCCTTGTGCTGCTTCTCCCTCCTACAGTCTAAGTTCTGCTGTATATAGACTGAAAGATGCTGATATTGACTCAAATTTAGGTTCTTACTGCTAAAATGATTTTGAATGACATTCATTTGTGTGGTTTGTATCTGCCTGGAGATCAGCTTTAAAACTAAAACCAAGTACCTTTGTAATTAATACC